CACAGTACCTAAGGTCTGCCGCGCTGTGAATAGACAGTACGTAGCCAATAGCCACAGCACATCTGCAACACTGCAGTCAGTTCAGAGTGCCCCAATGTCAAAATGACGTAGAGAAACTGAGGGGAATTCAGAGAAGAACAGCAAAAATGATCGGAGGGTGAAGAGGCTGATTTACGAGGAGAGAGAAACAGAGTTAAATATCAAGAATTAGCTTCCCCTGTATGCAACTCTGGGCATGTCAGGATAACTGTATTCAAAACATCTAAAAAGGGGGTAGGGCCAAGGAGAAAGGGAGATTATTTGAGGTGGGTGCAAGTAGAATTGATAGGATGGAAGTAAGAAAAGGAAAGTGAAGATGTGGAAAACTTGCAGAAAGGAGTTCTATAAGATCCAGATTTTTAGAGCCTGGTATTTAGGTGCCTTGCTCCCACTGAAATCTCTCAAGTCAATAGAAGATGAAGTCCCTAATCTGAATTTTGCCCTTTGATGGAATGGGCTGTGATGGCCCGTTCTTTGGCCAAAGGCTGGGTAGCATCTCCATGAAGACTCAGAAGCTGAACATAGTCTTGTTGATTTATGTGATCAATTTCACTGAAATATTGAAGCTGCAGACTAAAAAGGCGTATTTCTGCTTTTCTCTCCAATCCTGAAAATCCATTTTCCTGATGAGCCAGTCACCAAATTTCATGCCATCCTCCGGAGGGAGGGGCAGATCAATTCTTCGATTTTTAAAAAAATCCTGAACTTTGGCATCATCTTTATCATCTGGTGACAAAGACCAGAGAACAGATCCCCACCCCGTACATAGAGAGAGCTGAGCTGAATCAGAGCCCTAGAGACCTCGGTCAGGTCAATACAGGATAAATCCTTATGTCTGTAATACTTTGACAAAATGAATGGTCTGCACTATAGATGGTGGCTGTTTGGGGGCTTGGTGCCAGTCTCAGTCCTTAGAGATACCCTATTTTACAGCAGCAGGAGTTGGGTCAGTATGCAAAGAGCCCTGAACTGAACCTTTAGCTGTTATAAATTGTTGAAATCAAAGGCATGGAGACAATTTACACTTGCTCAGGATCTGACCCCATCTGTTTTGTAGTGGTGTTTGACCGTAAATTCTTCTGGGCAAGGTTGGCGCCTTGTTCCTCATCTCGTAAAGTACCACGTTCATTTGTGATGCCACGTTAATGTTAAAAAGTAATAATTTGGCACTCCTATTCTCCATGACTTATTTTAAGTCTTGATGGGGCTTGAGCTGTAGCAAGTCTGACCCACTTTATTGACATCAGGCCCAAATGGGTAGAATTCAGAGCCAGCTGTTCCAATTTGGATCCATTTCACAGAAAAGGCCCTAAGCAGAGTACGTTGGATTTAGCTGAGGAGCCTGAAGATTGAGGGTATTTCTTTTGGGTTCATATCTCACAAAAAGCCTATAAAACATAAATTCTGAGGCTAAATGACTTCAGCACATTCCCATTCATTAGAAGCCTGTCTAATATGCTGCAAAATAATTGTCTAAATCTGAGGTAGCTCAGCACAATAATTAGACATAAAATCCCCTGGAGCATGGCAAGAATGAAATCTTCAGCTGAGAATCTAATATCAGCGCGCCCGTCAGCTGACAGCAGGCACATCCTCTGGTGTGCAACCGAGGGGAAGGGGCAGGTTTGAGGGTCAGGCTGGGACTCCGACATCACAGCAGCAGAGCTAACAGCTAGTAAAAGGCCTGAAGGTGCAGTATGCTAAGCTCCCATTAGCTTCCATGGGCCTATGAAAGCGCTCAGCATTTTGCAGGATCAAACCCTCTATCATTTATATTGATAAAGATGTAATAGACATGAGGGATAAGCTGCTCTGCCGGCGAGATGAGGTGTATTTACCACTCTAAATCCTCACCACCTACGTATGGCAAGGCACAAACCTGTCTCTTTGACATGAACTAGTTCCTGAGGACCACACCAGCCTATTTTAAAGCACAACTACAGCATTGATTTCAAATGGCAAGTTCTGCTTAAAAACCACAGTTCAATGTGGTGCTTTAGATCAGTACCCAAGCAAAGTAACAGTTTCTTCAGCCTGCTTTAATAACTTGACCTCTTTCTTCATGGCTGTAGAATCCCTATACGTCAGTGAACCCCATAACCTTTCAGGTAAGATCAGAATTTTGTGTTCTTTTGCAGATGAAGTTCTTATTTGTATTAAGCTTTTATGAGGTCTATTTTTTCTTCAGAAGATATGGTCTTAGCTTTTTTTAATCTCAGCTGTTTAGCTTGTTTTTGAAAGGCTAATCCTATAATGAATAATAATAAATACTTTGCAGTTATGAACTTTCACAATAGACTGCAGAGTACATTAATCGGTAAACAAAATAAAATCTACTGAACTATATGGCACTTACTTTTTCTGTAGTAAATGTCACATCATTTGACAATTATATTTGCAACGTATTTCATAGACATTTCTTTCTGCTAACATTCACTTTATTTAAAAATTCCATATTTTATAGTTTAGATTAAAAGGTAATAATTTCTCCAAGCACACGTAGAAGAATTACATGTGGCACTCTGTTATTAAAGCACCAAAACTATCAGTAGTAAGCAGCTTGTGCAAATTATAGTCCATACATTTAAACGCCAGGTCCATTTGGATATAGTGACAAAAAGCAAACAAACAAACTTATAGCAGCTAAAAATGACCAGGACAATTCTGTCACAAATAGATCACATCTGGATGAAAATCCTAGAGCCTGGATTTTCAGATGATGGGTACATTAGAATTGCCAAAACCAGATCCCGTTATAATAAATATAAGGATAGCTAGAAAAATCAGGTCACCATGGAAACCTCAGCTGCCATTTCCATGAGCAAATGTTCTTTGCACAGAAATCAAGACGGGCTGACTTTGGTGTGACATGATTGAGGTTAACAGGAACATCTGCCTGCCTGCCAGGGTGGTGCACACATCACACAATTTATTTTAAACTGCTCCTCCTCCCCTCACAAAGATTAATGTTCAAAACTCTCTAGAACTGGCCACTCTTCAACAAGAGCTTAGTGAAGTAAGAGAAGGTGGCTTGGAACATGAATGAAGTGGAATGTTTTTGAATGATGAAATTGTCAACTGAGAGCTTACACCCTGCCTTGTGCAGGGAGAACCTCTGACATCCTGAGGAGCCTCTCATTGACAAGAAATGAGAAAGACCCATTCAGCTACCTATTCCTTGCTTCTGTCTATGCTAGATTGCTCCCTGCAGCTTCTGTCCCATCTCCCTCTCTTCGGTCAGTTTTTAAATGGTGCTCAGAGATGATGGGGAAACATGGAACTACCATAGATTGGGCAGAGAGCCAGGACAGGAAAGACACACTGGTGATACAGTTCTTATACCACACTCCAGTCCTCACTATGGCCCTGATCCAGTCAAGCACTACAGAACCTGTTTCGCACTATGCACGCAGGTAGACCCATGGAACTCAGTGGCCAGACAGACAGAGAGACCATTGACTGAATTGACAATAGGGCTTCCTTCAAGGAGGCTATTCAACGGGCTAATTGATACTTTTGGCACCAGATAGCAACACTCCAATCAGTTTGAGGACTTTATGCTGTTTTCAGTTGGTGGCTTTTGTTATGAGCTAGAATACTACAGCATATGAGCCTTAATTTATTATTGGTAATATTATTTGGCCAATAGGATTTTTTCTTTTGTGGGCATCTTGACTTTCCCTTTGTTTCACTTGGTCCTGTGACAATCCGTTACAATCTCTTACCCTTCAAATATCCTCCTATCAGACTTAATCCTGCATGGTGCTGAGCAGTGAGTGGAAGATGAAGGAGCTCAGCGCCTCTTAACCCTGTACTTTATGTATTCACTTACCAACTGCTGCACAGATATCTAGTTCTGGGCTGGTTCCTCCCTTTACCCCAAGAGCCATTTATTATGCTTTTTTCTGCACTTCCTCCAAATTAGTTCGCTCTCTCTCTCTCTGGGATGTGGCTGTCTAGAACTTCAAGGTACGACCTCACCCCAAAGGAGCTCTTGGCCCCAGAACCTTGGCTTGATCTCTCCTACATATGACACCACAGTGTTGCTCTGGAGGGATTTCTTTACAAATCCCTCCCCTCCCATCAGCCCCAATACCGCCCGCCTCCCATGACCTACACTAATTTGTCTGATTATCCTGTGGTAACACTCCTTTCTGTGGGACAGAACAAGAGCCACCACTTTGCTCCCCCTAGAAACAAGACTGCCTTTTGCTCAGCCTGGACAACAAATGGCTTCCTATGGGTATGTCTACACTACCACCCTAGCTCGAACTAGGGTGGCTAACGTAGGCATTCGAACTTGCAAATGAAGCCCGGGATTTAAATATCCCAGGCTTCATTTGCATGGTCCCGGGCGCAGCCATTTTTAAATCCCCTTAGTTCAAACTGACTGCCCGCAGCTACACGCAGCACGGACTAGGTAGTTCAAATTAAAGCTCCTAATTCGAACTACCATTAAACCTCCTTGCAGGAGGAATAACGGTAGTTAAATTAGGAGCTTTAATTCGAACTACCTAATCCATGCCGCGTGTAGCCGTGGGCAGGTAGTTCAAACTATGGGGCATTTAAAAATGCTGGCGCCTGGGAACATGCAAATGAAGCCCGGGATATTTAAGTCCCGGGCTTCATTTGCAAGTTTGAATGCCTACATTAGCCACCCTAGTTCAAATTCGGGTGGCAGTGTAGACATACCCTAAGAGGAGAGCTTCAATGGAGTTCCATAAAACCACCACTACAGGACTGTTCTTCAATGTTCTGCACACCCCTGCCTTCACAGCAAAACTCTGATTGCCTGTGCAAGCACACCTGCACTACCCAGGATATCGAATGAGACACCAGAAGTGGCTTGGGAACCCAAGTGCCTGCATTGCAGCAGTCTTTGTATCACTTGGCTGACTTTGCCCCATATTCTTGACAGTGTTTGTCCCCACCATATTTGGTGCTGCCATAGGTGTCCTTACCATGTCCATCAGAGAGTGAGTTGTCTGGACAAAGACAGAGATCACCTGCAAAAAAAATGACAAAAAAAGGGGGGAAGGTTGAGTGCATTTCCCTTGAGCAGGTAGAGACCAGCCAAAATGAATGCTAATTTGAAAATCAAATACCTCATTACTCTTGAAAAGCACCACCTCGTTAGCACATGGAATTCTGCCTTTATCCCAGTTGGAAGCATTTTCAAAATTGGTGTTTGGGATCCATTGTTTGTACACAGCAACTGAAGCAGCTAGGAGAAGCAAAGAAAGAAATGGAATGCAATACACTTCTATTTCTACACAGACATTTCCAAACACTCTGGGGCCAAATGGTGAGTCAATAGAGCTACAAGACACCAATTGAGGATCTGGCCCTGTATAGCCCCCAAATCCTCCCAGAATTAGTTAATACAGCGACACAATGACAAACAACAACTGCAAAGAAATGAACTGCCAGTGTCTCAGATTGGAACCAGAGGACCCAATTGTATAAGCTGTTCCTCAGATCTTATCCAGGCAAAATGCCCAACAACTTACTGATTTTGCCATTGATTTGAAACCTGCTCAGAGCTGGTGTGAGAGCCTTCATCTGGGTAGTGCCTCAGGACTGCCAACCCAAAGCATTCAAAACACCATGCTTCTAGCCCTTTCCTGTCTCAAACCCCCAAGAGTTTGGCTATAAAATAATCAGATTTGAATAATACCATATGTTGGATTCTTTTTATATCCCTCCTAGTTTCTAAGCCTCTGCAGTCCATTTTTGCAAGCTTGCATTCGCAGCCAGGAGGAGTGGGCACTTTTTAAAAAAAATTAACAAAAGCAGAGATTCTCAAGAAATAACATGACTCCAGGAGCTTAAGAGAAACATCTCAGAATGTCCTACTCGTGATGAAATCATGGAAGTTGACCACACTGGCACCTGCCATGTTGAACAATTTCCTTTCACCTCACTGGTCAACCAGGCCTATTCCTCTCCTTTATCTCTGTAGTTGTGTTATTACCATTCACTGAAGGAGACAGGAGTTTAATTGGATCAGGGCTAAGTGACGGTTAAACAGGCTGCAACTGGGTGTAGAGTAAGTGCAAAAGAACATGAAAAAAAATGCAGATGCCCTTAAACAAGAAGGAGGGCCTTGGGCTATGAAAAATCCACACCACTGAGTAGAGTTTTTTAAGCCAACCTAAGTTCCTGTGTAGATGGTGTTAGGTTAACAGGAGACTTCTTCTGTCAACCTAGCTACCACTTCTCAGGAGATGGAGTGCCTATGCCAACTGAGATCCTTTCTGTCAGCATAGCTAATATCTACACTGAAGCAGTACAGCAGCGGAGCTGCTTCAGTGCCACTGCAGTGTATAGACAAGCCATTTGCCTCATACAGAAAATGCTATTGTGTTACAATCAGAACACCTTTATATCTGTATTTTTTATTTATAAGGCTGGAGACAACAGAGAGATGCAGACAGACTGGAGAATACAAACCAGCAGGAGGGGCAGTAGTATAGCTAACACGGTACAACCTTTCTTTGTAGTCAAAGCCTAATTTAGCAACTGGATCTCACGGTGACTCAAGGACTTGTGAACAATCAATACCATCCAGAGTGGTTGTCAAAATGCCATCATAAAAAATGAGGAAGTTGGCCCAATTATTCACTGTGGATAAACTACCTGACAAATGTAGCTCTTTCCTTTCTTTTATGAACTGACTCTTCTGCAGACGCTTTTGTGAATCCGATGCAGTGTTGTAGCTGGTTGGTCCCAAGATATTAGCGAGACAAGAGTCATGAAGTAATAGCTTTTATTGGACTGACTTCTGTTTGCTGAGAGGGGCCTGAAGTGGTGATTTCTAAGTATTTGACAAGTAATGCCACCAAACCAGCCTCAGTTTATGGTTTGTTTGAAAACTGCTCATTTGGGCTCTTCACTCCTGTTCATTACTCAAGACATGTAGTCAGTTAAGTCACATGATATTGTTTTTACTCCTTGACTGGATAAATGAAACTTCTAATACACAAGAAAAACGAACAGGCTTGTCTCTCCACAAGTCCCCAGACTTGCAAATGATTATGAGAATTGTAGGAAGACTAGCCAGTCCCTAAACACACGTACAAACACAAACCTTTTTGCATTACTGATAGTGCATCACAAATTCAAAAGAGCATCACTATGGTTGTACCGGGCAGCTGTTGGGACTTTGAGCCAATGTTTATAAACCCCAGTTCTGCAGTATTCAACCAGCCTTCCTGAGCTCTGACTGATCTACACTCAGCTGCTTCATTCTGTGTGGGTAGATTTAAAGAGACTTCTCTGAGACTGAGATCATCATTCTGCCTCTATATGCCAGAGATGGAATTTTCTGCATCGGAGCAAAAAAAAAAAAAAAAAAAAAAATTAAGCAATGTCAAAACGCTCCCCTCCCTGTGTGCAGTTAGCACAGGGGACATTTTCAACGCTGCGATTAACACGTAGTTGCGGAACACCGATGGCTGAGCGAGAAACACTGTCTGTGCATGTACAAGATCTCCAAGTGGAAAACCAGAATGTTGTATTACCAGATACCAGTATTAAAATTACTTATTATTTCTTTCTTTTGGGATTAGGGCCTCATTGTAGTAAGCACTGTACAAACACAAGGACAGTCCCTGTCCCATCAGGTGCGATTTAAACAACAGAGAAGGGGTGAGTGAATAAATAGACAAGCAAAGGGGGGGGGACGGTTGAGGCTAAGGGAAACAGAAGAGGGAGATGGCGGTTGACTCTAAGCGCTGTGTGCCCCTTGCAGGGAGGGGGCAAGGTCAGAGGAAACTTTGTGTGCTTCCCCCCACAGCCAGGCCCTGATTGGCCTGGGGTGAGGAGAGCATGCAAAGTCTCTCTTTTGTATGGAAATGGGTGACAGGGGATCATGTGAGGATTACCTGTTGTGTTTCCTCCTTCTGGGGCATCTGGTATTGGCCACTGTTGGCAGACAGGATAATGGCCTAGATGGACCATTGGTCTGACCCAGTATGGCCATTCTTGTGTTCTTTTGCTTCCTCCCCAGCCCTGCAAGGTGCATGGGGCACTTAGCATCAACCACCAAGGTGGTTGACGCAAAGCGCCGCACACCCCTGGTGGGGAAGGAGACTTTGCCCAATTCCCTGAACCCAGATCCTGATTAGCGGGTTAGATCCAGCCTGCAGAAGCCCTTTTGCCCACCACTGCACCAGGCACACCAGTTGAAAATGAAGCTTATCTTATCAGCTGTGTATGTAAATGGGGTTCACATAATCAGATGGGCCCGCTCTTTGGTATCTCTACTGTCAGATTCTATCTGACCCACCATACAGCCTTTGTGTCACAGAGTACAGATCAGATTTCATCCTTTGTGGTGGGTGGGTTGTCTCACATTGTCTGATCCTCCAAAAATGTGAATTCTAGAGATGTAAAAGATTAACCAGTTAGCTAGTAAACCTCACCCATTAAGGGAGAGGCTTACCAGTTCTGGTTAACCAGTAAGGGCTGGAGCAGTTCTCTGCCCACTCCGGGCAGGGGGTTGCTCCAGACTAGGGTTGCCAGATGGTTTAACCAAAAATACCGAAGCCTCCCCCCCTCAAAAAAAAAACTGTTGAGGAAAAAAAGGTGGAGACCAAAGTTGTTGAGAGGGAAAAAAAGGACCCCGACAGTTATTAAGCCAAAAAAAAAAAAAAACCCTCCCCCGCCCCCAAAAAAAACCCAACTGTGAGATGGAAATAAATGCTTGTTTTACACAAGCTATGATTCTTCTGTAGTGACTGAAAAAAAAATTGTTTGGATGACTAAGCGGGGTGGAGGGAGGTCCGGCAGGGCTGGGCGGGGCGGTGTGTCCCAGGAGGTGCCCAGGGGCTGGGCCCGGTTGCTGAGTGTGGTAGGGTTGCCAGGTGTCTGGTATTTTTGCCTCCTAACAGGGAAAAAAAATTGAAAATACCAGACATTTTAGGTGTCCAGTATTTTCTGATTTATTTTTTTTAAAGCAGACAGGAGGCGAAAATACCAGGCTGTCCAGGTCAATACTAGACACCTGGCAACCCTACTCCAGCCCCGTGGGGCCTGCGGGAGCAGCTCCTGTCTATGGTGGGTCCAGCTGCTCCCCCACCTCCCCTACAGCTTATACACTAGCTCCCCAGGAGTGGCCCCCAGCCCGGGGGGGCCGGCGGGAGCAGCTCCTGTCCATGGTGGGTCCAGCTGCTCCCCCACCTCCCCTACAGCTTATACACTAGCTCCCCAGGAGTGGGGCCAGCAGGGGTTACCGGCCCCGCTCCCAGGGAGGCAACTGCAGAGCTTGCAGCGAATGCTCCTAGGAAGGTGGCTTTGCTGCTGCGGAGAAGCCACCTCCCTGGGAGCAGGGCCAGCAGCAACTTCTGCTGGCCCTGCAACTTCTGCTGGCCCTGCTCCCAGGGAGGCTTCACAGTGGTCTCTGCAGTATAAAGCTAATTTAAGCTTTATACTGCAGAGCCTGCAGCGTGGGTAACCGCTCTGATTTTTAGCAGTTACACGATTGCATGTTTAAACGCGTCTTTACATCCTTAGTGTATTACTGACATTTGTACGACCCTTTTCTCAACCCTCCCCACTCTATATTTTTAAACACACCGTCTCTGCTATAGACACAGGCACAAACATTTGCTCTGATGAACCCTTCAGTTGGCCAGCAAAAGTCACTAGTGCAACAATATGGGTGTCGCACTCTGGCCTTGTCTACACTGGCAAGTGTTGTTGCCCAAAAAAGGTTTTGGTGACAAAACCCCAGGAGTGTTCACATTGCAACACAACAAAAATCATGACAAATGCCCAATTTCGACAAAAAACTTTTACCTCTACAAGGGACTTTTGTCTCTCCCCCTCCTTTTACTGTTGACAATCATGTAGTGTGTATACAGAAGGTTTTTTGTTGAGTTTATTGACCTCTAGCATGTTTCCCACAATGCCCAATTAGCCACTCTAGCCAGGACAAGTAGGAGTGGTGTCCTTAGCCTCTGTTTGTCAGAGGCTGGAAATGGATGACAGGAGAGGGATCTCTGGAGCATCTGGCATTGGCCACTGTCAGAAGACAGGATACTAGGCTAGATGGACCTTTGGTCTGACTCAGTATGGCCAGTCTTATGTTCTTATATGGTGATGGAGGAGTGTTAAAATGAAAGTTATGAATGATGGAGAAGAGACTATGCATGCTAGTGGGGATCTGCTGATATTTAAGTAGCTCGTACTGATTCCTTTGTAATTGTAAATTCTATTTGCGTGGCCTGACTGAGCTGCTATGCATATGCTATGAATATCACTGCATATGGCCATACACAAACTCGAGGTGCGGGGTCGGGTGGGGGGGGGCATTTTTAAAATGTGCACATAAAAATAGCAGCATAGTGTAGACAGGGCATTTGTCGTTTTAACATTGTTTAACTGGTAGAGTTTGAAATCTTAGCAGGGAACCTCAAAAGGCAAACTCGAGGAGGAGGAGGTCCTAGACTGTGCCTTCAATACCTACGTATGTTTAGACAATCTGTTGACTAATGAAGACAAGACCTTCCAACGAGGTTCTGCTGGTCTTACTGAAACAGACAGCACAAGAGAACAAGCAACACATTTCTCTTTTAACATTATGCCTGAATACCATAGAAAGCTCTTTCAAAAATATCTACTACATTCTGCACATTCTTATGCTTTGGAGACCCAGAGGTCCACTAGTACCAACTGGCAAAAAGTTCACTTGTTCTTTACAAGCTACTGCTATCTCAGCCCCAAGAAACTCACTACACCTAATATTTCACTCTCATAGTTTCTATCCAGTAAGAGTAGTAGCATGTAAGAGATCTGCTGACAACTTGTAACTTCCAATTCTCATAATCATTGTGAGGTGCATGCACATGGGTAACTTTAAAGGAATTACATAACTATATTGCAAATTATGTTTTCTCTATAGTTCTGGAATACAAATGAGTCACCAGGCAACCATGTGTCTTGGTGATGGGCCATTCAAGCAGAAGAGAGTTGTCACCCCTCTCTCATCAGCCAGTAATATAATGCAAAGTTCAGTTGTCTACCCTTGCTCCAGTCCACAACAGCCACTGGAAAGCCAATTGCTCAAGATGGGGCCGATAATCAAAAGAATTTGGAGATTAAAAAGGAATGTAAGAGCCTGTGAATGGAGACAACAGATTGATTCAGCCTATCAGAGGCTATATCTACACTGCATCTCTCCTGCGGAAAAACATATGCAAATGAGGCTCCATTTTTGCACAAGAGGCTTTTGCGCAAAAAGGAGCTGTCTACACTGCTCCTTTTTGTGCAAAAATCCCCTCTTGTGCAAGAGCCGTTCTTTCACATATGGACGGCTCTTGCACAAGAGGGGTTTTTTACACAAATGCCTCTTGCACAAAAATGGAGCTTCATTAATTATGCAAATGAGGTGTGGCGATATTCTACGCTTAGCCTCATTTGCATATGTTTTTCTGCAAGAGAGGGGCAGTGTAGACATAGCCACAGAGAGGGGGGAAGAAATGGTGTCCAGTCACAGC